ATTTCTCTTGCAGGGGTCTCTTAGGGAGACTATGTAAGGGGTTTGAGACACAAGTCTGATGCTGATCAGGTCTTCTCACATCTCCACCTTGGGCTGCTTAATCTTCACCTATGGGGCAGCCTGAGATGGGCCTCCTCGTTCCACACTGCCTCCTCCAGCTCCTCCATGATGCCTTCCAGAATCTGTCCATCTAGAGTATAAAAAGTGCACTGCGAGGCCTCACTGTACAGACATCTAAAGAGTTTTAGTATTACGGCGTAGTACAGCAGGCCTGGGACATTTCTGAGCTACTGAGGATGACGGAAGCTGCCCTGGGAGCAGGACCACCTGTACACTCACGGCCATGTGCAAACCAGCCTGTGGTTCACACAAAGATTTAGAGGATTGAGAGGAGGTGGGGCATCAACATGGCGAGACCATGGGTGTGGAGGTAGGAGGTTCCTTAAGCTGCTAACACGACTTGATGAGTTTGGGCAGCCCTCAGACATACCTACTTCACCAAAAAGACGATGATAATTTCCTGCCATTATGAAGAATAGAATAATTGTCAGGGTGGATGGAGAAGGGCTCCAGTCATGAATGTAATCCCTCACTCTCCTGCCCCTGCAGTCGGAAAGAGGCCGCTGTCATGTGACCATCACGCCATGAGAGATGTTCCAGAATGAGTCACCAAGTAGCCAAAGAGACGGAACGGTTCTGCAAACCAGGTCCCCTTCATAACAAGTCCACTGTTCCTGGGGTCTTGTGATGGTGGTTAATTTCATTAGTGTACATTCCAGAAATCATATTTCTGGTAGACTGGGTCATGCGGACAAACAACAAATATTGCTGCGCATGGCCTTCTCCTGGTAGGTGTGGCCAGTACCACACTCATTATCTATGCCAGCCAGAGGAGCCAATCAGCATGTTCATTCTGCACATTCCGCAGATTCAAGGAATCTGTCCACGGCAGAACTTAGGGCCTCTGGTGCAGGTTTATAATTCCGCTTGACTGAAGGCCGCTGTTTGGAGACAAGGGATGTTTCCTAATCCTATTATGGGGCTGACTTGGAAAAAAGGGGCTCTTTTCCTGCAGTGTGTTTAGCCCGGTTCAGTCGTTATGGTCATACCATCGTTGAACGGCTGTAACCCAGGCAAAAAGCCAACCAGCACTGGAAACATTTAATGCACCCTGTGCTTTAATGTAAGTAATCCCAGCGGAGTCGAAAGCTAATCGCTACTCCTGATGTTCGAGCGTACGGGGCCCGGTACCTGCTGTAACGTGCAGTAAGAGCCTCAGCGAACCTGCCTTGGAGTTTATCTCAAAACTAGGGAATCGATGAATGTAAAGCCAGGTGCCCTTTCAGGTCTATATATAACAAATCCACCTGTGTGTTGATGCAGTTCCCACATGTTTAGTAAATATAGAAGCCTGAATTTGTGCGCAAATTAATAGCTTGGGGGATTGACTTGTGTGGTGTTTTCAACCAATCATGAGCGTCTCGGGGGGGGGGGGGGGGGCAGGTGCTCGTCTGTGGTGGCTTCATGTCACCATGGAGATGGCGGGTCCCAGAGACGCCCACTCGTATTGTCTTTGGGATGACACGCCTCCGGAGCTCTACAAAAGGGCTGGGGTTGTGTTCGGGCAATTCCAGAAACAGGTTCAAAGTTCTTCCCACTAAACAGGTCTATTATAGCTATCTGAGGCAGCCACTGTGCACAAACAAAGCTACAAGAGCTCACCGGCATCTGCCTGCCAACATGGCTGACGCTTGGCCTGCGGGGGAACACCAGTGATGCCGCCACATCATCGTCCCTAAGCCTCAGAGGAGACGCAGTGTACATTTCACCTGTCGCCGTATCGCTGGCAGGTGTGGAAAATTACCTCACGCCCTGCAATTGCCAGATTTACAAGGCAACTCTGCCAGCGCATCCAGCTTCCTGCCTTATTTACTTTATTAATATGGCTGTGCTACTTGCGGGGGGGCAACCCGAATGACCTGGGGGGGGGGGGGATTTTTCCCCTGGGGGGGGGGGGGGGGGGGGGAATGTTACCTCTGGTGGGTGCTGAGTGAGTGGATTGTGTTTGTTGGAAACGAGCATCTAACCCACCAGTGTGTTTTCCCAGTCTCCTCTGCCTTCATTTCAAGTATCAGGTTTTATTGTCATGAGTTCAGAGGAACACTGTGACATTCTTAAGCCACAGTTGGCGGGGGAGGGGAAAGCTGTATGGCAGGACAATAAGACAACAACAACAGTGCAATAAAACACAATATAGTGCAATATAAGACAAGTGGACAATAAATAGGTGATAGAACAGGGTTAGGGTTATGGTGGCCCTTTGGTAAATAACACAGCAGCTCTGTGAGGTCCAGATGCACATCACAGAAGCATTGAATCAGCCAGTGACACCTTAACGCCAGTTTATGGGTGCTGGATTTGAGGCAGGACTTGGCTCTGCCGGCTCAGTGGAGTTCTGAAGTTCTCCTTGCGTTTGTACAGGTTTCCCCCTGCTGTTCAAAAACATGCAGTTAGCTGAACTGGCATTCCTAAATTGCCCATAGTCTGAGATTGTGCGTGTGTGCCCTTTGCTGAACTGGCAGCCCATCCAGGGTACACCTTGCCTTGTGCTTCCCGGGACAATGGCCAGGCTAACAGTAAGTCTGATAAGCTATTATTGAAGATCAAGGGATGGATAACACTGAAAGGCAATATAAGATGAAAGATTAGGGACCATCTGCTATGAATTTGCTGAGTTTTGAGTCTACCAAGGAAACAAACGTTTTTTTTTGTTTTTTTTTTTTTGCATTTCTAACGTATCTGGCTTCACAGGCTCTCAAATTTCATCCTTAGCTGAACTTAAGGGGTGTGAATTTCAGTAAAAGTGATGGGGGGAAATAGGTCAAAGTCCAAATTCAATCAGTATTTACATTTAATACCGCATCTCATAATCCAGTTAAAAGCATTAATAGCAGACAAAAAAATAAGTTCAAACTGAAACATATGAAGGTTTTGTTATTTATTTATTACGGAGACACTAATATTTTGCTGATGCCCGCTGGCTGTCAAATTTTGGAGTTGAACTAAAGAGTTTGTAAGGTGGGGCACATTAAGAGTGTCTCACGTTACTCATCTACAATCTATATTCACAAGGCCCCCGGATAACGTGACACGTTTAACATTAAATAAAACACCTGTCGAAGTCGGGCGCCATGCCCATCGCTGCTGCAAAGGCTTCTAATGTCCACCATGTTTTCCTGCTCGATTCAGCCGTGCTGCTGATTATGAGCCAAACTAGAGTACACTTGTCTTTCCTCCATTTCAACACGAGAAAGGGAAAAAACGTGACAAGGAAAAAGAAATGCTTTGTTAAGACAGTCCTACAATTCGGCATAGAATCTGTAGAAACCCGCCAGTGGTTTTGCTGTTTTTTCTACGTTTGGGACTTTGCACCTGCGGTTGTGCTCCGTGGCCGAGGTCACAGTAGCGGCCCGACCTCCCCCGGCCCCCCGTCAACAAAACTGCGCTTCTATCTCCCACTCCCGCCCCGCGCCAAAAAGTTATTCGGCATTGTCATTTTTATTACACATTCGGAACGATAAAAATAGATAAAAACATTTAAAATTATAAAAAAGAAATTAAAATAAAACCTGATTCAAATCAAAAAGAAGTACTAAAGATAAAACAAATTATAGTATATAAAAATAAAAACAATCGAATTTTTACATTTCATTACAGGCATAATATACTGATAAAAAGATTAAATTAAATAAGCGCATAACTTTATCCTTTGCATATTTCTCCTCTTTTATCCACATTTTTCCTATAGGCACCTGATGGCTTGCACCTTATCTTATTAATTTCTGTTAATTTGGCGTTCGAGCATCCATACATTACCTATCAATACATTACCCATCCCCCAAAAACTGTCAACCAAAAGTCACAACAAAATCAGTGCAACTTGGTGGTTTGCATACTGGCTTTATATATTATTCTTAATGATGAAAAGTGCGACAGTATGTCTGTGAAACTATATATTCCTAGTATTATGAATGAATTGTGATTTATTTGGTAGAATTTCGTAGTGTGACTGATTTAAACTAATTGCATTAGTACTGTACAAAGTTAGAGATGCGCTATTTGATAGATTTCCCCGTTCCACCCACCTCGGGCTTCTAGCGAGGCGACCGGAGGTCAACCGAGCTCCGCCCCCGTCCCCATCTTCTGGTGTGCATGGTAGCCTGCCTAGCTCACAAACCGCAACCAGGGTGCCTTTTTCGACAAGGTTAATCAGCCCACACAGTGGTGTGATATCATTGATATGATGTGCAAATATCACCATTCTAATTTATTTTGTGGACGCCCATACTTAAATCCGCCGGTGCTGGGTATAAGGTGGAGGAGGTGCTGCGGGCTGAAAAACTGTATTTCAGGGCTGCTTATGCATGAAATAAGCTTCCTCCAAAGAGATGTATAAACGGTGCAATTAACCTTTTGTGATTTAAAAGCCACAGCACTTTCCCTTTGCTGTGGATGTTAATCCCAGGAAAGGAGGTTTGAAGACCCCATTTTCCACCGGTTTCCCCAGCGGTTTAAATAACGCCTGCGCTTCCATTTATTTCATTAGCACACAGAAACTGGAGTAGATAGTGGCAGCGTTGATGGGGTCAAAGCAATGTGCGAGGAAAAAAAACTGATAAGAAATACACGTATTACCGTTTACATCGAGTTACTTTTATTCGTTTTAAGACGGTCAGTTTAAACACCACATACTATGCATCGTGGCTTTGTCCCTTTCGATAACTTGCCAATCCTGCAATGAGGTGTATAAAGCCCTGAGAGATTTCTACTACCTATTCCAGTTGGTCCTCATCTCCCTGACTTACTATAATAGTTCCTGTTGATTTAATCACAGTGTCCTCCACGAAAATGCTTCACACTGCTGGTGATAGTGAGTGACGTCTTTGAGTTCCTCTGATACTCTAAGCCCTCGTTACGGCTTGTCTTTCATCGCGTAGCTCCAGAAGGCTATATCCGAATTAATCTTACCCGTTCATTTGGCTTAATGTTATTTGTTTTGAATTCTAAAATAAGCTCACACAGGGTTCATAATACCCCATAACAACTGGATAAGCGGAGGATGGATTTCAGCACGACATCAAAATCTATATGCAGGCAAAGTAATTAAAGTAGAAAATATTTTAATGATGTAATAGTTTGTTTCTTCTTGATTAGTAGACTTGTTTATACATTTTGACTGGCTTCGGGGAATTTTATTTTTCTTGTCAGTGGCGGAACCTTCAGTAAGAGGGGAGACGGTAGCAGAGGGGAAAGTAATACTAGCTGCACCCATAAGTGGAACTGTGTCGGCGGAGCGTAACGATGGCGGACGTCCCGAGTAATGCTCCGGAACGTGAGTATCTCTTCGAATTGAGGGACAGTCAGTGCGAAAGTATATATGCAGAATATTCACTTTAAATTATACATTGAGTACGTTTGCTTTTTGAGGTATTTGGTCATATTGCTTATGTGTATAGCAGCAGGTCTCAGTTGGCGTCATATTAATAGTGAAGGAGCATCGCACCAAAAGTTAACGACCTACGCAACTACTTAAAGTAGGTGACGGTGTTGTACTGTGAGCCATCCTCGATAACTGGGTCGCCAGTTGTTACGCATTTGGCGTGACACTCGCCCTTTCAGACTCAAACGCTCACGCAACTAATCTTACGCGTTGGGATAGTTTGCAAGCCCTACAGACTATTTACAAGGTAATAACTGTTACATGTAAATGCGTCTGTAGACTAGACTCGAATTGAAAATCTCACTCCAGCCAGCTGACAAAAGTTGGCAACCCTGCTATAACAGTACAAAAATGAATACATGTGCCATATGTTTCTTGCTAATAAAATCAAGTGTGGTTTTCCAATGTGAAAACTATTAAATAGTAGAAATAAACTTTTGGCTGCCATGATTTTTTTTTACTGCGTTGAACTAAATGCAAAGTTATATATATTGCAGGTGCCGCAATAGAGATGAAAGCACATCGTATCCCCCCCCCCCCCAACCCAAATGAGTCCAGTTTTGTTTGGATTTTTAGAGCCCCTACATATATTTTATATATGTAATTATATTTGGCATATTAAACTTGTTAGATCTGTCTGTGAAATTTATTGGCCATATTAGCAGTATATAACAACTGAAGCATTATTGCTTTTATATCTGGAGATTTAATAAGGAGGACAGGTACAGTCACTTAACATTTGTGTTCTGCACAATCCAGAGCAGCTAGCCGCTTTTGACTGGGGGACCCAGACAGCAAAGTTTGTGCCCTTGAATAAAAGGACTGGTGCTGATCCTCTTCATGCAGTGAATTTGCCATGTTTTTTCCCCCGTTTCCCAGACTGCCCTGGGACCAGCAGCGCACAAGCCGGGAAGAGTTCTTCATGTCAGGGTTGCCCCAACCAAGCCATATGTGCCTCTGGAGCAACCAAAGCTCCGGATCCCGGTATGTTAACAGCATTAAGCCAAAGACTCAGCATTAAGCCTTGAGCCAAAGACTCAGTTACTATTGCGATTTTGAGCGTTTCACCCTGATGAAAGCGATTTTAACTGAATATTCCAATAGTAATTGATACATGAATTTTGTATAAAACCCAGCCTTTGTATACTAACAGATAAATGGGATGGACTCAAGGCTCACCCTGACTCCTTACTGCATGCATGAATGGATGGATGGATGGATGGATCAGTCAGAAAAAGAGCACGTTTCCTCCAGCATGGACCTTTAGCTCAGTATCTTAATTTAGTTTTTAAATTTCTTTCCTCTTGGTTCTTGCACACGGCAGCAATCGAGGAGATCCGGGTGAAGATGGCCTCTGTCAAGCATAAGGTCCTGGTGCTGTCAGGGAAGGGCGGCGTGGGCAAGAGCACCATCAGCACGCAGCTGGCGCACGGCCTGGCCGGCGACTCCACCACAGAGGTACCTCATTCCGTTCCTTTCAGTTTCTTTTTGCATTGCACCCTTCATAACACCATGGCTCCATGCGTGAGGAGTTTGCAGGTTCTCTGTCATCATGGGGTTTTCCCCAGTTGTGAACTGGAGTTACCAAATTGGCCATATTTGTGCGTGTGTGAGCATGTCCTGTGATGGATTGGCACCCCGTCCTGGGTAATTCCCTGCCTTATACGTATAGGACCTGGGATAGGCTCAGGACCCCCTCCCCACCACCAGAAGACGGGTGCAGAAAATGGATGAATCCATGATACAGGGAAGAGGGGAAACAATAGCAGAAGATAACAGTGCAGAGGAGTGATGTTTTAAAGGTGTCCTTCTTGTTAAGGCTGAGAACTGATACCTGTATCAGGTCAGGATTGAGACAGAGTTACTGTTTTACTGACTCTTTAGAAGTGGTTTTAAGTTAAACCAGGAACTTTTTTATATCAAAAGCTAATTTGGAATATTTTAGCTGCTCGTAACATTTTATAATTGCTTTTGTTTTTACCTTTTTGGTTCTTCTGTCTATTGCAGTGCCACTTTCCTCTCAAAGGCCTCTGGCACTTTGATGTGCGTTTCTGCTGTTCAATCAGTGACTGTTTAAACGGTCTCTCTCTCTGTGGTTAGTGGCAGTCAGACAAAGCGTTGTCTATAATTTACCCTTATAATTGTATGTGAATTGTGGATGTGCACATGTATGTCCCCTGCGGTGACATCGTTCACGGTGACTCCCCTTTGCCATGTGCTTCCTGGCTTCGTGCCCCAGCCCTCAGCTACGCTGTACTGGGTAAGCAGTCAAGAAAGATGGATGCACTGTCAGGATATTTCTTTACTCAAAACATCACAACCTGTTTTGGTGGTGAACAATTCCCACAATGCACTGTGCGTTGATTTGGGGTTGCAAGCTTTGCCGCTATAACAGGACAGCCCAAATTTTCCTCTGGGCAGTTTGTGGGTTGTAATAATCCTCACGCCCATTTGCAATTCAGCCTTCTCCCCCCTCCCCCGGTTCTGGTTTGTTATTTGATGCTGACGCTGAGTGCTTTGGGGGGCGTGTTGAAGGGAGAGTTTGAAAAGTGGTCCCGCCCTTTAGCTCTCTGAAACGGAAACGTGCTCCGAGACCCTTACTAATGCTTATTGCAGCGTTTGGGTCGGCGCTATTTTATCTGCATCTGTATGGACCAACATGCGGGATAGTTTTCCTTCCTGGCCACGGTGGCCTCCGTAAGGAGTCCGGCTGCAAATGAAATTGGCGACGCCTGAATGAAAACATCCCGTTTTGCCGTTTCCTATTTTTTTTGTTCCTTCTTCCTGTTTATAGAGGCCGTGTGGAAACCGGGGGCTGTTCTGACCCCTCCATTCGCTGGGGGGTTTTCTGTTTTGCCGTTGTCATGGCGAGCACCTGGAATGGGGAAGTGCCGAGTGGAGTCACAGCCTAGCGATCCGCTGGCCCCCCCCCTGGCCAACTTCAGGCCCCTCCATGCCGCGCTCTTCATCTACATTATCTGTAACCAAATGCCACGTCTGATTTGTTAGATCCTGCAAGACGTGCTGTTGGTTAAAAAGGTTAAGCATGGCCATATGGCACGTATGTAACAGTGCGCTCTGGGTGGGACACTGGCCCCCATCCTGTCCCCTCCCCTTTTTCTGAGGATTCCCCCCTCCCCTCTTCTTTCCTGTGTTGTGTCTCTTTCCTGGGGAAGCTTACGCTTCAGCTTTTAATCAGTTCTGAAAGCTGTTGTTTGCCATCCTGAGATTTATCTTTCCAGAGGTGTGAGGCTAATGAATTTAAGCTGCTGACGGGCTGGCCTGGGGGGCGGGGTGGGGGGGGTGATGGGGCCCTGAGGGTTGTGGCACTGCCGTCTTTCTGCGCCAGGCACTTAACCCTGCTGATGAAATGGATTAAGTCCAGGAGCTGAATGATACAGATAAATTGCACAAGATTAAAAGAAAACAGGGTGTGTTGCTGTCTCATCTGAGGGCCCATGGCCAGAACGGACCGGCACCAGATGCAGTCAGACCCGCTTCCACCCTTCTGCAAACACAAGATGCTCCTCTCCCCCCCCCCAGAGTTCTCTTTTGAGCAGAAGCTGCCTCATGCTGACTCCACCCATCTGAAAAATCAATAGAGACGGCGTCTACCCCCTCCTCTATAGCCACATGTCCCCCCCCCTCTTTGAAGCCTCTTGCCACAGCCCCCTGAGCAATTCAGATAACTCCAGTAATTGGAATTTACACCCATTCAGCCGGGGTGGGTCCTGGAAAGGAGGATATTTTCATTTCACTGCTATTTTCAGGCCAGAAAGGAATGAGAGAGCGCCCCCTTGTGGCCGCTGTCTGTGTCCAGGACGTGAGGCTGTTGCATGGCCTCAGAAAAGGCTCCACAGTCGTCCTCTGGCTGCTTGCCACCATGCAAATGTACCATGTAGATGGTAAAAGGCGATAAACTGTGGAGGGGGGCGTTCCACAGGATGTCAGCTGAGAAAGGAAGGGCTGCTTCGCCTGCTGTGAAAACACACACCCAGGGTGGCTGTGATTGTGGCAGACAGTCAGCCCATACACACACAGTCTCTCATGCTCAGTCTTGCAGACTGATGTGACCGGTGTGGTGGTGGTGGGGGGGGGGGGGGGGGGGGGGGGGGGGGGGGGGGGGGGGGGGGGGGGGGGGGGGGGGGGGGGGGGGGGGGGGGTACTTCGTCCCCCCACCTCAGCAGGAGCTGGTCTGGACCACCGAGTTATAATGAAGCCGGTTGTGTTTGCAAGAGCAGGCAGAATCCAGTGCAGCCGTGGGGTAATTTCCCCAAACCGTGGGCTGATAATGATACTTAAATGCTTTGCTCTCTTTCTTACCCTCTGTTCAGATTGCTCTGACTCATCAGATGGATGCATTTTAAAGTGAAAATGTTCTCAGATCTGCATCCCTGACACTCAGATCGCTGGCTCAGAGATTAATCTGAACCCCCCATTGATCCCCTGCGTGGCGTCACCAGAGCTAATCCCCTTTGTTGCTGACGCAGATTCAGGTTTCTTAGAACGTGTTGCATCACTCAGTTTTCCCATGTGGATTCTACCTGAACGGCATGCTGGGTAATCACAGGCAGTATACAAAATGTTACCAGCTAATTTATACTGTTAGATACAGGAAACTCGTACGTTTTGTGTTTGGATGCTTAACCTCAAACCAAAGACCCAGAGCTTAAAGAAACCGGATGAAAGAAATAAAGTCAGGAAACCTTCACTGTGTTTCAATGTCTTTTCTGCTCGTGGACAGAATCGTCGGCTGTTCAAAGGGCTTTGCTGAAGCCAGCCGTCCATCCTGTCCCGGCCGCCTCCGCTTTTCCCTGAGGAGCGATGGGAATTCCTAGCATTCTCAGAAAAAATGAAGCCCCCGTTTTTCTCAGCCTGCCCGTGGTTCACACAGGGAGGGACGTGATCCCATCCTGACCCCGGAGACACTGATGACGGAGTGAGAAAGAGAGAGAGGGATGGGGGGGGGGGTTGCTGTTACCATACATCCTTCCCAGTTTGACATGGAAATGTCACCATTCGGGGAAGGTCTTGTTTCCCAAGCTGTGCGTGGGCTGAGTGCCACATGAAGACTAAACTGCTCTACATAAAGACCTCTGGTAGACAATGTGTGTTTGAATATATATGTATGTATGTGTATCTTACTTAGGAAACTTTTTTTCCAAATGTTTCT